CCATCCATCCATCCATCCATCCATCCATCCATCATCCATCCATCCATCCATCCATCCATCATCCATCCATCATCCATCCATCCATCCATCCATCCATCCATCATCCATCCATCATCCATCCATCCATCATCCATCCATCCATCCATCCATCCATCCATCCATCCATCCATCATCCATCCATCCATCCATCATCCATCCATCATCCATCCATCCATCCATCCATCATCCATCCATCCATCCATCATCCATCCATCCATCCATCCATCCATCCATCCATCCATCATCCATCCATCATCCATCCATCATCCCTCCATCCATCCATTCACAGTCACTGGAAGAGTCAGGGAATTTAAAATTCAACTCCTCACACCAAGATCTGAGGTAGAAATTTGATTTTTATTACTTTTGACTCTTAGCTTGGTTTCAAAAAGAAAAAAATCTTGTTTTCAACAGGCAGTTGATGCCTCCACCAGCTTTTCCTGTCACTGGAATGAAATCGGAATCGGAAGAAAGAAAAGGTGCGGGGTCTTTGCCAGGCAGCCATGGTGAGTGCAGTGGGGCAAACACCCTCCCAAGTCCAGTTTCAATTCCCAAACACCCTCCCAAGTCCAGTTTTAATTCCCAAACACCCTCCCAAGTCCAGCTTTAATTCCCAAACACCCTCCCAAGTCCAGTTTTAATTCCCAAACACCCTCCCAAGTCCAGTTTCCTCTCCCAAATGGTGCTGGTTTTCACACTTGCCTAAATTGATGGGGTTTTTTTGGCTGTTGGGTGTTGAAGTGCAAAGCAGGTGATGCTGCACCGCTCTGAAATCGCTGGTGCTTGCTGTGGTTATACACACGGATGGCTTCTCAAAGCTTTAATAAATATCTGTATGAAATGAGGGGAGTTTAATCAAGTGAGGAACTAAAAATAGGAAAATTTGGCCCATCAGGCTGCACAGAATGTGATGGGTTTGTTTTCTGGCTTTGCATTTTTATACACACAGGTGGCTTCTTAAAGCTTTAATTAATATCTGTATGAAATGAGGAGAGTTTAATCAAGTGAAGGACTAAAACCAGGGAAATTTGGCCCATCAGGCAGCACAGAATATGGTTCCAATAATGGTGGGGTTGTTTTGTGGCTTTGCATTGTTATGCACACAGATGGCTTCTTAAAGCTTTAATAAATATCTGTATGAAATGAGGAGAGTTTAATCAAATGAGGGACTAAAAACAGGGAATTTGACTCATCAGGCTGCACAGAATATGGTGGGGTTGTTTTGTAGCTTTGTTTTTTTTACACACAGGTGGCTTCTTAAAGCTTTAATTAATATCTGTATGAAATGAGTGAGTTTGATTAAGGAGGACTGAAAACAGAGAAATTTGGCCCATCAGGCAGCAGAGAATGTGATGGGGTTGTTTTCTGGCTTTGCATTTTTATACACACAGGTGACTTAAAGCTTTAATTAATATCTGTATTAAATGAGGGAGTTTGATTAAGAGGAACTAAAACAGGGAGTTTTGGCCCATCAGGCAGCACAGAATATGGTGGGGTTGTTTTGTGGCTTTGCATTGTTATGCACATAGGTTGCTTCTCAAAGCTTTAATAAATATCTGTATGAAATGAGGAAAGTTTAATCAAGTGAGGGACTAAAGACGGGGGAATTTGGCCCATCAGCACAGAATGTGATGGGGTTGTTTTGTAGCTTTCATTTTTATACACACAAGTGGCTTCTTAACGCTTTAATAAATATCTGTATTAAATGAGGAGAGTTTAATCAAGTGAAGGACTAAAACCAGGGAAATTTGGCCCATCAGGCAGCAGAGAATGTGATGGGGTTGTTTTGTAGCTTTGCATTTTTATACACACAGGTGACTTAAAGCTTTAATTAATATCTGTATGAAAGGAGGAAGTTTGATTAAGAGGGATTAAAAAACAGGGAGTTTTGGCCCATCAGACAGCACAGAATATGGTGGGGTTGTTTTGTAGCTTTGGTTTTTTTACACACAGGTGGCTTCTTAAAGCTTTAATAAATATCTGTATTAAATGAGGGAGTTTGATTAACAGGGACTAAAAACAGGGAGTTTTGGCCCATCAGGCAGCACAGAATGTGGTGGGGTTGTTTTGTAGCTTTGCATTGTGAGCAGCTGCCTCAGAGGCTGCTCAGGTGGGGATTTACACCCATTTACACACACTTACACACATTTACACCCGTTTACACACATTTACACACAATTACACCCATTTACACACACTTCCACACATTTCTGGCTGCAGACAGCACACGTGCTGCCAGGATTTCACCTTTCCTGTCACTCGGCAAGGTTTGGACCTGTCAGACCTGCAGCTGACGCCCCCCAGCTCTGCAGGGCCATCACCCAGCCTGGTTTAACCTTAGTTCTTCTGCAGCCCTGCTCCCAGACATTGCTCTCCTGTTTAGCTTCCTTTTGAGCAAAATTTCTACTTTTCTTGACGTGTTGATCTCTTTAACGGTGAAATTGCCCTCCCTGAGAGCCATTTGCTAACTTTACCTTTTCTGTGTGTTTCTTTCTTGTTTCTGTGTTCTCTTACATGGTTCTGATGGATCACATGGCTGTTGCTGGTGCTGTTTCGTGTGGCCTTCGACCTTGGATGACCATTGGCCTTGTGACCTCAAAATGGTGTCCAACTAACAATTTACAATTAACATCTTTTTTTATTATGATTAACTCGTTTCGGGGCATTTTATCTCTTTTGATTTGTTTTGGTTTTTTTTGTTTTTTGGTTTTTTTTCCCTTCTTGGGGGTGCTGGGGGGGGGGGTTGTTTTGTTTTCCCTTCCTAGATCATCAAGCCAAGAAGATGAAAACTGCAGAGAAGGGCTTTGGATTAGTGGCCTATGCTGGAGATTCTTCAGATGAAGAGGAGGAACACGGGGGCCATAAAAACGCAAGTACTTTTTCACAGGGCTGGAGTTTGGGGTACCAGTACCCATCCTCACAACAACGAGCCAAACAACAGATGCCTTTCTGGATGGCACCATAAAAAAACAAAAAAACTGCACAAGAGTTTTCATTCATCTGGTTTTCCCCCCCTCTAGCAATAATGCATGTATATTCCAGAATGAACTTGGCAAAGAGGCGTTGTTTTTACATTTGCAGAAAAGGCAATTTCCCCTTGGAAGGGCTCCATTGTTTTTTAAAGAAATCTTCATTTTTGGCAATGTATTTGTCAATTTTAAAAAGGAGTATTTGGAGTAGCATCCTGACTGGCCTAGTCCCTTGTAAAGAGGAACCAGGGAAGCCTCTTGGGCCATATTTTCAGTTCCTCCCAGATAAAGGGAAGAGTCAGTGCCACTGACTTCACTCTGCGTTTGTATTTTTGGAGTGCTCCTGCTGTCAGCCCCAGTGATCTGCTGGTGACTCAGCCTCAATTTTGGACTTTGACCAGAGGGAAGAAACACCCAGCAGTCGTGAAAAACTTGAGCATCACGTTTGGAAAACTCTTGGTTTTATTTCAGACGTCTCCTGTAACTCAGCTTGGTTTTATTTTGAAATGCGACTTTACCGATCCCACAAGTTCTCATTCTGGCCAGATGTTGGGGTGGGGGATGCTCAGGTTTTTGGATAGCTCCACTTTGCTCCAGGTGGACTTGGCACTGTACTAGTGCTGAATTGTTTCCAGGACTCCCAACGGAGCAGGAATTCCTTTTCCAGAGGCTCAGCCCCATCTCCTCCCTCACTCACCGGATTCCACCAGAGCCAGAAGGTTCCACAGTGGTTTCCCAAAGGGCAGCAGCTCCTGCCTCACGTGCAGAACCTGGGAATGAGTTTTTGGACTTGTTTTTGGACTGTTTTGGACACGAACTGAGTGGGGTGGGCTGCTGCAGCCAGAACTCCTGCACGGAGCAGTGACACAGGGACTGCTCCAAGGCACCGGGCAGCTTTTGGGACAGGAGCTGTGATTTTGAGAAGGGGCTGTGTCACTGCTGCAGCCAGGGCTGCCTCACCTGTACAAACCTCGGCTTCCCCGTGTGTTGTAAATAATTAGAACCATACTTTCATTATAAATAAATGTATAAATATTCTGCTCCCTGCTGTTGATTTGGGCGAGGTTTGGAGCCTGTGATAAGGGTTGGGGGGAGATGCAGGGCTGGGGGAGCCCTGGGGCTGTGGGGAAGTTCTGGGGCTGGGGGAGCCCTCGGGGATGGGAGGGGGTTTGGAGTTGGGGGTCCCCAAGGATCAGGGGGTCCCTGAGATTTGGGGCCTGTGATAAGGGTAGGGAGAATGCGGGGCTGGGGGAGCCCTCAGGGATGGGAGGGGGTTTGGAGTTGGGGGTCCCCAAGGATCAGGGGGTCCCTGAGATTTGGGGCCTGTGATAAGGGTAGGGAGAATGCGGGGCTGGGGGAGCCCTCAGGGATGGGAGGGGGTTTGGAGTTGGGGGATCCCCAAGGACCGGGGGATCCCCAGAGGTGGAGGGGCTTGGAGGGGGCTTCGGGCTGGGGGGAGCCGAGGGGCTGGGGGAATCTGGGGCTGGCGAGGGGGTCCAGGGTTGGGGGTCCCCAAGGATCGGGGGGATCGCCGGAGGTGGAGGGGCTGGGAGAGGGGGTTCGGGCTGAGGGGGAACCGAGGGGCTGAGTGGGACCTGGGGCTGGAGAGGGGGTTCGGGGTTGGGGGGAGTCCCTGGGTGCTGGGGATATGAGGATGGGGGAGGAAGTGCAGGGTGGGAGGCGACCCCGGAGCTGACAGAGATCCCGAGATCGGGGAGGGGAGTCCCCGGCCTGCGGGTCCCGAGGGCAGGGCCGTGTCCCGGTATGTCCACGCCATGTCCCCGCCGTATCCCGTCCTGTCCCGTTGCGTACCCGCTTTGTCCCATCCTGTCCCCGCCGTGTCCCGTCCTGTCCCGTTGTGTTCCCCGTTGTGTTCCCGTCCTGTCCCCGCCGAGCCGCCGTCGGGTCCCGCCCGCTGCGCTCCCGGCCGGGGCGGGCCCGGGCGGGCGCTGAGGCGGAGGAGCCGCCGCCATTTCGGTGTCGCTGCGAGCGGGGCCGGGGCAGCGCTCAGGGGGCGGCGATGGATCCCGGAGCCCGCCCGGGCGGCGGCGGCGCCCCGGGGCAGTCCCGCGAGTACAAACTGGTGATGCTGGGCGCGGGAGGCGTCGGCAAGAGCGGTGAGTGCGGGGCTGCGGCCGCCGCCGGCCCCGGAACCCGGCGGGGCCGGGGGAAGCCGCGTTCCCTGACCGGAGCCCCGTTCTGGGCGCGGTGCCGCCGCTCCCGAGGTGTCCCGGCCCATCTCGGGGTGTCCCCATCGGGCTGTCCCGGCTCCTCTCGAGGTGTCCCGACCCCTCCTGAGGTGTCCCGGCCCATCCTCGACCCTCCCGGGCTGTCCCCGCAGGGCTGTCCCGACCCCTCCCGAGATGTCCCGGCCCATCCCGGGATATCCCCGCCAGGCTATCCCGATCCCTCCGAGGTGTCCCGGCCCATCCCGGGATATCCCCGCCAGGCTATCCCGATCCCTCCGAGGTGTCCCGGCCCATCCCGGGATATCCCCGCCTGGTTGTCCCTACCCCTCCCGGGCTGTCCCGGCTCCTCATGGGACATCACGGCCCCTCCATCCCGAGGTGTCCCGACCCCTCCCGAGGTGTCCCGGCCCATCCCGACCCTCCCGGGCTGTCCCCGCTGGGCTGTCCCGGCTCTTCCCGAGGTGTCCCGGCCCATCCCGAGGTGTCCCGGCCCATCCCGAGGTGTCCCAGCCCCTCCCGAGGTGTCCCGCTCATCGCCTTCCGCCTCCGGCCGCGTCCCGGGGCTGGTCCCGCCTTTGGACACGGGCGGAGCATCCGCGGGCCGAGGGCAGCGCCGCGCTCGGTGCGGGCCGTGCTCGGTTTGGGTCTGTGCGATAACGATGTGATGATCTGGGGAGTTGGGGGCTGAGCTGCTCACTTGTTCCCTGGTTTCTGCTTCCAGCCATGACCATGCAGTTCATCAGTCACCGCTTCCCAGAGGATCACGATCCCACCATCGGTGAGGAAAATCTCTTTTCTGTTCGTTCATTCCCTTGGCAGGTCAAGCTGTAACAGTCCGTTGCTTTAAAGCATTAAATTCAAAGATATTTGTAAATCTGGCTTGAGGTTGATCTTGGATCATTCATCAACAGGAGCATTCCCAGCAGGTCAGGGAGTGCTGCAGGCAGTGCTGACCCTCTGCAGGGCTGTGCCCAGCTCTGGCACCCTCAGCACAGCAGGGACAGGGAGCTCCTGCAGGGTGACAAAGGTGCTGAAGGGCCTGGAGGGTCCCTGCCCAGGAAAGGCTGAGGGAGCTGGGGCTGCTCAGCCAGGAGAGGAGCCCCAGGGAGAGGGACCTCAGCCCTGGGTGTGTCTGGGTGTGTCTGGGTGTCCCCAGATGTCCCTGAATGTCCCTGTATGTCCCTGGGTGTTCCTGTCTGTCCCTGGGTGTTCCCAGGTGTCCCTGGGTGTCTCTGGGTGCTCCTGGGTGTCCCCAGGTGTCTCTGGGTGTCCCTGTCTGTGAGTGTCCCTGGCTGTCCTCAGGTGTCCTGGGTGTGTCCCTGGGTGTTTCTGAATGTACCTGAGTTTCCTTATCTGTCCCAGTCTGTCCCAGTCTGTCCCAGTCCATCCCAGTGCGCAGAGGTCAGAGCAGCCCCAGGCTCTGCTCCAGGCCCAGCAATGGCCCCAGAGCCACGGGCAGGGCCTGAGCCCAGGAGCTGCCCCTGCCCAGGAGGCAGAACTGCTGCCCTGGGCAGTGCCCAGCCCTGAGCAGAGCCCAGAGAGGCTGTGGGGGCTCCGTGCCTGGGGACCCCAGAGGCACCTGGAGCAGCCCTGAGCCCTGGGGTGTCCCTGTTTGGGGACCCCAGACCCACCTGGAGCAGCCCTGAGCCCTGGGGTGTCCCTGTTTGGGGACCCCAGAGGCACCTGGAGCAGCCCTGAGCCCTGGGGTGTCCCTGTTTGGGGACCCCAGACCCACCTGGAGCAGCCCTGAGCCCTGGGGTGCCCCTACCTGGGATCTGCTGTGGTCCCTTCCCACCTGAGCCCTCTCTGTGTTTCTGTGATTTGAGAGTTCTGAGAGTGGGATGTGAATTCTGAGTTTCAGCCCTTTAATCATTTTCCATCCATCCACTCAGGGCATGCCCTGTGTCTGTCTGTGTGGGCAGGCAGGGTCTGAAAGTGCTGCTCAGCCATTTTTAGTTCTCTATTCACAGAACCCAAACTTTGTGCTGTGATCAGCTCTTTGCCGTTCACTTGTCAGGCCAAATTGTTCTCTGTGTTTGAGAAATTGGGAGGGGTGAAACAACTCTGGTGCTGTAGAACCTCAGCAGCATCTCCAGGAGAAGAGAGAATTATTTAAATTTATCTGGTATTCTAACCTGAACCAAACCAGTGGAAGGAAAAGTGGAGAGAAAAAAGCCAAAATCTTGCTGAGAATTGGTTCTTAAAGTGTGGCAGTGCTGACTGAGAGGGACAGAATATTTGTGTATTTATATATTTATAGACAGATCATTTTTATATGGTGTTTATAATAAGTAATATTTACATTTATAATAACTAATATTTACATATGTAATATATATAATTTACATATATAATATATATACACAACTAAATATTATATATATGTGAATTTGTATATATATAATATAATATAATATAATATAATATAATATTATATTATATTATATTATATTATATTATATATAATGTAATATAATATATACATATATAATAAAAATTATATAAAATAAAATAAGTATAATGTATATTATATATTATATATTTTTACATATTAATAGATATGAAATAATAATATAAATAATAATATTATAATAATATAAAATAATAAAATATATACATATATAAACACATATATACATATATACATATATACATATTATATATATACATATATATGTATGCTATTATATTATATATATGTAAATATATATTTACCTGTATAATATATATGTAATATTTACATATACAATATATAGTATTTACATATATAATATATATAATAAATTACATATAAATATTTACAATATTGTTTTGATTTATTTATTTATAATATTACTTTTAATATATAATATATAATATATAATATATAATATATAATATATAATATATTTTTATATAGATATAATTTGTAATATATTTATTAATATAATATAGTATAATATAATATAATATAATATAATATAATATAATATAATATAATATATTTATCTAAAATATAAATACATTTACATATGAAATGTTTCATATATTTTGCTGATATATATTATAATTCTAAGAAATCAGCACTTGGTGAGCAGTTCTTCCCTTGAATCACAGATATTTTCTGGCTTTGAGGAAAGCAAAGTGTTAATTCTCTGAGTTTTCCACCAAGGTGACCAAAGTGAATTTCTGGGCTGTGTGCACACGATTTTTGCACATGAAATGTTAAATCACACCAGAAAAAAAAATAGAAATTTCACTTGATTTAATGAAAACAAAGCTCAGACTGCGGCAGTGCAGTGCTCCTGGCAGGCTGGCTGCTTCTGGGGGAGCGTTTTCTTTGGGAGCTGATGAATTTTGTGCCTTTATCCCAATTTTTTGGTGTCCTGGGGGTGCAGAGGATGCCTATAAAATCCGGATCCGCATCGATGACGAGCCTGCCAACCTGGACATCCTGGACACAGCAGGACAGGTATGTGAGCAATGCCAGCGGAACTGAGAGCCTGTGAAGCAGCCTGAAATCATCAGCTGGTGGGACAGAAATCATGCAAAAAGAATGTTTGTGTTTTATTTTACTGCTTTGGTTTTATTGCACACTGAGGGGTTGGAGCTCTGTCGCTTCTCAGCACTGGAGCTGTGGCTCTGGTTCACCTAAAGACCTAGAGAAGATCAGCAAAATCATAAAAAACATGAAACATCTATGACCTAAACTTCCTTCTCTTTCAGTAATTCCATGAAAATAACCTCTTGTTGTCATCAACTTTAAAAAGTGTTTTTTCAACATTCAAAAAGTACTCCTCAATTTACCTGTCCAGTTCCAACCATCAATAAAAAAACCCCAATTTTTACAACTATAAAAATAACAAATTATAATTACAACCAGAATGAGCTTGCTGACTATAACAAACCAAAACTTTGCCATTAGCTATTTACCTTTAAAAAAAAGATTACCTTAATTAAGCTCTACAAAATTCAAAATATTTACAGAATACATTGTTAAATTATTCAAGTGTTTATTCATTATCGAAGTCACAAATTGTCGCAAACAAAATTTCACACCTGAAACAGCCCAGCCACCCTGAATGGCATAAAATTAGCAGGATGGCTTCTGAGGTAGTGTTGGAAACAGAAAAAGGTTTAATGAAAGGCAAAATAATGTTTTTTCCTTTTTAAGCAAAGAATAATGGACATCACTCCAAAGGTCCTGTGAGGTGTCTTTGTACCAAATTGAGGAGAGAAAGTTCTGGGCTTTTTGCCTTTTTAAGCAAAGAATTATTGAAGAAGTCACTCCATCAACAGGGGGGCACATCCCTACAATCCCATTTATAATTGAAAGTTTGAAAACACAAACTCAAATACCACTGGATCTGTATGGAGCTAAAATGCCATTTTGTGTTTTGTACCGCAAAACACCCCACAAAAGGGATTATTTCCTTTTTCCTCTTCTTTTTTTAGTGAATTCTGTAGGTGGACCTCCAATCAGGCAGCCCCAGGTCTGAGGTGAAGTCCCAAAGGTCCTGTGAGGTGTCTTTGTACCAAATTGAGGAGAGAAACTTCTGAGCTTTTTGCCTTTTTAAGCAAAGAATTATTGAAGAAGTCACTCCATCAACATGGGGCACATCCCTACAATCCCATTTCTAATTGAAAATTTGAAAACACAAACTCAAATACCACAGGAGCTGCATGGACCCAAAACACCACCGGATCTGTATGGAGCTAAAATGCCATTTTGGGTTTGCAGGCAGAGTTCACACCACAAAACACCCCACAAAAGGGATTATTTCCTTTGTTCTTCTAGTGGATTATCTAGGTGGGACCTCCAATCAGGCAGCCCCAGGTCTGAGGTGAAGTCCCAAAGGTTCTATGAGGTGTCTTTGTACCAAATTGAGGAGAGAAACTTCTGGGCTTTTTGCTCTTTAAACAAAGAATAATGGACATCACTCCAAAGGTCCTAAGAGTTGTCTTTGTACCAAATTGAGGAGAGAAACTTCTGGACCTTTTTCCTTTCTAAGCAAAGAATAATCGAAGTCACTCCATCAACATGGGGCACATCCCTACAATCCCATTTCTAATTGAAAATTTGGAAACACGAACCTCAAATACCACAGGAGCTGCATGGACCCACAACACCACCGGATCTGTGTGGAGCTAAAATGCCATTTTGTGTTTGCAGGCAGAGTTCACAGCCATGAGGGACCAGTACATGAGGGCAGGGGAAGGTTTCATCATCTGCTACTCCATCACGGACCGGCGCAGCTTCCACGAGGTGCGCGAGTTCAAGCAGCTCATTTACCGCGTGCGCCGCACCGACGACACGCCCGTGGTGCTGGTGGGCAACAAGTCGGACCTGACCCAGCTGCGCCAGGTGAGGGGCCCTCCCCGAGGGGCTGCTGCTCTTGGGCAATGTGGGGGAGCAAGAGGGGTTTGTCCTTTCCTTGCTGTTTGGTTGGGGTTTGTTCCCGTGGTGGGAGCGGCGCTGGTTTCGTGCAAAATGTGGTGGGAAACAAAGTCTGTTCCTTGTTGGGAGCCTGGTTACTGAGAATTTTAGGCTTTTTGTGCTCATAGAACAAGAGAACGCTGCATTTGACCTGAAGACTTCGAAAATGGAATGATAAAACTGAGATTAAGAGTGTGTAGTTTGAATAGAAGTGTTTAATATCATATGGTGAAGAACTTAGGGTTTAAGTTTAAGAGAAACAAAGCCTGTTGGAACCCTGGATTCTGAGGATTTCACTTTCTGTGCTGCCAGGCACTGACTTCCGACAGAACATTGCATTTGACCTGAAGCCTTCCAAAATTAAATGATAAAACTGAGATTAGGAGTGTGCAGTTTGAATAGAAGTGTGTAATATCACATGGTGGAAAACTTAGAGTTTAAGAGAAACAAAGTATGTTGGAACCCTGAATTCTGAGAATTTTGGACTTTCTGTGCTCATAGAACAAGAGAACATTGCATTTGACCTGAGGCTGTGAAGAAGCCTTCCAAAATGGAATGAGAGAACTGAGATTAAGAGTGTATAGTTTGAATAGAAATGTGTAATAATACATGGTGGAAAACTTAGAGTTTAAGAGAAACAAAGCCTGTTGGAACCCTGGATTCTGAGGATTTTACTTTCTGTGCTGCCAGGCACTGACCCCCAAGAGAACATTGCATTTGACCTGAAGCCTTCCAAAATAAAGTGAACAGAACTAGGATTATGGGTGTGCAGTTTGAATAGAGGTGTATTATATCACACGATAAAGAACTGAGAGTTTAAGAGAAACAAAGTCTGTTGGACCTCTGGATTCTGAGGATTTTGGACTTCCTGTGCTCACAGAACAAGAAAACCCTGCATTTGACCTGAAGCCTTCCAAAATTAAATGATAAAACTCAAGAGTGTGCAGTTTGAATAGAAGTGTGTAATATCACGTGGTGGAAAACTTAGAGTTTAAGAGGGAACCTTGGATTCTGAGGATTTCACTTTCTGTGCTGCCAGGCACTGACTCCCAAGAGAACCCTGCATTTGACCTGAAGCCTTCCAAAATTAAACGATAAAACTGAGATTAAGAGTGTGCAGTTTGAATAGAAGTGTGTAATATCACATGGTGGAAAACTTAGAGTTTAAGAGAAAAAAAAACTTCAAAAGTTTTTCTTTTAAACTTAGAGTTTAAAAGGAAAAAAGAGAACACTGCATTTGACCTGAGGCCATGGAGAAGGCTTCCAAAATTGAATGATAGAACTTGTATGAGTGTGTAGTTTGAATAGAAGGGTGTAATACCACATGGTAAAGAACTCAGTTTAAGTTTAAGAGAAACAAAATCTGTTGGAACCCTGACCAAGGTGTGCACTCATTTTGCAGGTGTCCAAGGAAGAAGGCTCTGCCTTAGCACGGGAAATCTTTGGAGCTGAGGGGAAATGTTCTGTGTTAGGGCTTGGAGTGCCCACAGAGAGGGACAGAGAGAAAACAGGGAAAGGCAAAGAAATAAATTGCTGGGGTTTGGCTTCCCTGACCAGAGTGTGCACTCATTTTCCAGGTGTCCAAGGAAGAAGGCTCTGCCTTAGGATGGGTGGAATCAATCTGTGCTTGGAGCACAAAACAGGGAAAAGCAAAGGAATAAACTCCTGAGTTTTGCCTCCCTGAGCAGGGTGTGCTGCTGTTTTCCAGGTGTCCCAAGGAGGAAGGCTCTGCCTTAGGCTTGGAGTGTCCATAGAGAGGGACAGAAAGCAAAACAGGGAAAGGAGAAGAAATAAATTGCTGGGATTTGGCTTCCCTGACCAAGGTGTGCACTCATTTTCCAGGTGCCTGAGGAGGAAGGCTCTGCCTTAGCACAGGTGGAATCTCTCCTTTGGATCTGGGGGGAATCGATCTGTGCCTGGAGCACAAAACAGGGAAAGGCAAAGGAATAAATTGCTGGGGTTTGGCTTCCCTGACCAGGTTGTGCACTCATTTTCCAGGTTTCCATGAAGAAAGGCTCTGCCTTGGCACAGGAAATCTTTGGAGCTGGGTGGAAATGTTCTGTATTAGGGCTTGGAGTGTCCATAGAGAGGGACAGAGAGAAAACAGGGAAAGGCAAAGGCATGAGGGCTTTGGCTTCCCTGATCAAGTTGTGCACTCATTTTCCAGGTGTCCAAGGAGGAAGGCTCTGCCTTAGCATGGGTGGAATCAATCCTCTGGAAATCTTTGGAGCTGAGGGGAAATGTTCTGTGTTAGTGCTTGGAGTGCCCACAGAGAGGGACAGAGAGCAAAACAGGGAAAGGAGAAGAAATGAATTGCTGGGGTTTGGCTTCCCTGACCATGGTGTGCACTCGTTTTCCAGGTGTGCACTCACACACCTGGAAGGCTCTGCCTTAGCACAGGTGGAATCTCTCCTTTGGGTCTGGGTGGAATCAATCTGTGCCTGGAGCACAAAACAGGGAAAGGCAAAGGAATAAACTCCTGGGTTTTGCCTCCCTGAGCAGGCTGTGCTGCTGTTTTGCAGGTGTCCAAGGAGGAAGGCTCTGCCCTGGCCAGGGAATTCAGCTGCCCCTTCTTTGAGACCTCGGCCGCCTTCCGCTACTACATCGACGACGTTTTCCACGCGCTGGTGCGCGAGATCCGCCGCAAGGAGAAGGAGGCCGTGATGGCCATGGAGAGGAAATCCAAGCCCAAAAGCAGCGTCTGGAAAAGACTCAAGTCCCCCTTCAGGAGGAAGAAGGATTCAGTCACTTGAACAGCAAATTCCTCTGCAGAGCAGGACGAAAGCTGTGACCTTTTGTAGCCAGAGGAGCTCGGTGGCGACGCTGAGGGGACGTGTGGCACCTGAGGGGGTTTGTGAGGGAGGGAACGCCTCGCCCCGCCAGTTGTTTTTGTTTAGAACCGTGTTGCCTTGATTCTGGGGGTTGAACTTCACACCCAGTGCCAGTTGTACTTGGTTTGTTTTCATTTTTTATTTTTACTGGACCCAGCAGGTCACCAAAGCCCGTGGGTTGGTGGCCTTGCACTTTGGAGTGTTTGTCCTTGGTCACAGCAGAGGAGCTGAACTGTGCAAAACATTGATCCAGCCTCACTGAATCTGGGGTTTTTCCTGGAGGAAAAGAGGATTTTGCTGCTCCCCACAGTGTGAGAGGCTGAGCAAAGTGTCATGCCCTTGGAGGCCACCGAATTTCTTTTGGGACAGATTTCTTTCCAGGAAAATGGACGTGGAATCGTTGTGTGATCAGTGCTGCAGGTGGGATGTAAACAAGCCAGAATAATCCCAGAATCATTTCAGCTGGAAAGGTCTCTGGGATCAGTGACCCAGCACCATTTTGTCACCACATCCAGTCCCTCAAACGCCTCCAGGTGGGACAGTGACACCTGTGCAGGTGACCCAGACTTTGTGAAGCTCATAAAGAAGGATTTTGATGCTCTTAAGAATCATTTTGATGCTCTAAAGAAGGATTTGATGCTCTAAAGAAGGATTTTGATGCTCTAAAGAATGATTTGATGCTCTAAAGGAGGATTTGATGCTCTAAAGGAGGATTTTGATGCTCTAAAAGTTGATTTTCAGCTGAGGCAGAAGCTCCACACCTGAGGGACCCTGTGCCCTGGAGCTGATGGATTTTCCAGCAATTTTGGGAGCAGGTCCTGGGTCCGCCTGTGGATTTTGCTTATTTAATCAGTTCTGTGCCATCCTAAAGGAAACTGGGATTTTTGGGGAGCTGTTTTGCAGAGAAAAATGCTGATCCTGAGGCTCTGGGTCCAGAACTGCCTCTCCCTGAGCTTTCCCTGAGCATTTCTGGAGCAGAGCAGGGAGGAACAGCAGCTCCTCCCCTGTGCAGGTGACCCAGACTTTGTGAAGCTCATAAAGAAGGATTTGATTCTCCAAAGAAGGATTTTGATGCTCTAAAGAAGGATTTTGATGCTCTGAAGAAGGATCTGTTGCTCTAAAGAATGATTTGTTGCTCTAAAGAAAGATTTGATGCTCTAAAAAATGATTTTGATTCTCTAAATAAGGATTTGATGCTCTAAAGAAGGATTTGATGCTCTAAAGGAGGATTTTGATGCTCTGAAGAAGGATTTGATGCTCTAAAGAAGGATTTTGATTCTCTAAATAAGGATTTTGATGCTCTAAAGAAGGATTTGATGCTCATAAAGAAGGATTTGATGCTCTAAAGAAGGATTTTGATGGTCTGAAGAAGGATCTGTTGCTCTAAAGAAGGATTTTGATGCTCTAAAAATGATTTTGATTCTCTAAATAAGGATTTTGATGCTCTAAAGAAGGATTTGATGCTCATAAAGAAGGATTTGATGCTCATAAAGAAGGATTTTGATGCTCTAAAAATGATTTTGATTCTCTAAATAAGGATTTTGATGCTCTAAAGAAGGATTTGATGCTCATAAAGAAGGATTTGATGCTCATAAAGAAGGATTTGATGCTCTAAAAATGATTTTGATTCTCTAAATAAGGATTTTGATGCTCTAAAGAAGGATTTTGATGCTCTGAAAGTTGATTTTCAGGGTGTCAGAAGCTCCACACCTGAGGGACTTTGCCCTGGAGCTGATGGATTTTCCAGCAATTTTGGGAGCAGGTCCTGGGTCCTCCTGTGGATTTTGCTGTTTAATAAGCAAAATGAACAGCTGGGTCACTCAGATATGGATAAAAGAAATTTCTCTGAGCCAAGTTCAGAGAAAAATTCCAGAAAATTCTCTGGAATCATTGATTGGGAGAGTTAAAAAGCTGATTAGACTTAATAATCTCCTCTCAGCTCTGTGCTGCACTGTCAGTGCCATCCAAACTGCAAAAGGGTTGGTAAAATAAATATTTAAAAAATATGTATATATCTATATGTAAAACATTCTTATTCCCTAAAAAATCCTGTGCCTGTTGGTTTGGAGAATTATTTTCTTTGTGGAAAACTTCAACAGAAGAGAAGTGTGGCAGGGCAGATTTGATATTTGCTTTGTGATTGAGCTGAACATTTCAATTTATTTCCATTTATTTCTCATCTCCTCCCTGCTGCGCAATCACAGAGTCCAAAAAATGGTTTGGAAAATTCAGATTGAAGCAAAAAACGCCTGAGGAAAATTCAGAATTTCTGACTCCTGTGTGAACAGCCATCAGTGATTTTCTCATTTTTGGATTAAAATCTGCCTAAAATTCAAATAAAAAGCCAAAAACCGGAGGAAGGGGAGGAGGAATCACCCCAAAAAAATGGAATTTTGTGCCTTACCCGAGTCCTGCAGTGCAGTTGAGCTGTTCACTAAAATTCTGTCGCTTCTAGAATTCATAGAATTCACAGTTTCCTTTAGAACAGCAGCCAGCACTTTTTTTGGTTTTATTTTTATTTGTATTTTTTTTTTTACACAGTGTTATTCAAAGAGTTTTTATTTTTTGGCATGTATAAATTTGTACACAGAACAATGGCTTTATTTGACACAATATATATAATTTTGAATACAAACTTTTGCATTGGGTGTCTCAGTCTGTGGTGGGGTTGCTCAAGGAGGAAAGTTCATTGTAAATTTGGGGGAAAAAATGGGATTTAAGTGGTGCAAAACCTGAAAATTCAGTGAGTTTGGTGCTAAATTGTTGAAATGTGAACATTTTCCACCTGAATTTTATCTGTGGTGATTTTCCAAGGAAAGAATTTGTCAGATTTTGCCTTTTTCTGACCCAGGGATGGGAAAACTGAGAGGAGTTGGAAAAACTTTTATTCCATTTTTAGTCTCATGTGAAAGGTGGGACAATACAAATATTAAAATTGACACCATCACAATCAAAACCAACTATTAATTAATTAATAAAATTAATTAATTAAAATACATTAGAAGTGTTTCTTAATCTATCACCTTTAACTACTCTATATTAAAAATACCTCAAAACTAATCAACTAAAATTATCTCTGGTAAATCCTGCTACAATCCATATTTCATAATTCTATTTTTCCAAAATAATATAATAGAATATAATGTAATATAATGTAATATAATGTAATATAATATAATATAATATAATATAATATAATATAATGTAATATAATATAATATAATATAATATAATACACTATAATGTAATATGATATAATATAATATAATATAACATAACATAACATAACATAATATAATATAATATAATATAATATAATATAATATAGCATAACAATATAGTATAATATAATATAATGTAATGTAATATAATGTAATATAATATAATATAATATAATATAATATAATATAATATAATATATATTTATAGTTACATATTTGTATTTATAAAATATTGTTTCTTTACATATCTATATATAATCTATAGTATATAAATATATAAATTAGGTATATATATAAAAATATATTAAAAGTACACACATTATAAATATACATTATATACACATTTTTATATTTCTATATACACATTATATAGATACACATTATTTTTTAATTTTATATATACATTATATATACATTTAAATATTTTATACATATATGCACATTATATATATACATTATGTATATATCATGTATATATACATTATATATATGTTTTTATATATATTATCGCTCTTACATTATATATCCTTATTTATATTTACATTCATATGTTTATATTGTATATATACATTATATTGACATTATTCTATTATATATACATTATATAAGCATATGTGTATATATATTACATATATGTGTATATATATGTACATGTTATTATTGTAACATATTTTGTATATATATGATAATGATTATAATATAATATAATATAATATAATATAATATATGATATGATATGATATTATATGATATAATATGATATTATATAATATGATATGATCTAATATAATATAATATAATATAATATAATATAATATAATATAAATTTGTATTTATAAAATAGTGTTTATTTACATATCTATTTATAATCTATAGTACTTAAATATATAAATTTTGTCTATACATAAAAATATAAAATATACACACATTATATATGTTATATTATATTATATTATATTATATTATATTATATTATATTGCACTCCATTGCATTGCATTGCATTGCATTGCATTACATTACATTACATTATATTACATTCTATTACATTCTATTACATTACATTACATTATATTACATTATATATACATACAAATATGTTACAATAATAATGTGCATTTTTATATTTAAACACATATATATATCTGTTATATAACACATTTTTATATATAAACACATTTTTATATTTAAAATACAAAATCTGTGGAATCTTCCTGCTTGGTGAAAACATCTCCTCGTTTGGGGTGGGTTTGTCCTTTGCTCCAAGCCATAAAACCCTTTCTAAATAACATAAAATACCCTTTGGCCCTTGGTTATCCAGCCAGACTGGCTCAGCAATTCTTTATTTTATATCAAAACCTGCTTCCATTTCTGTTTCATTTTCAGGTTCCACATCCAGAGCAGACGCATCTGAGGGAGCCGGGCCACGGAACCATTTATTTATTTCTCTTTTCCCGCCTTGTCCAACCCATTCTGTTCACGCTTTTTTCTTCCTTTTTTTCCCCTCTTTTTATGATGCAAATCCTTTCATTTCCTGGAAGAACCTGAAACCGTGGGGTGTGAAAGGAATCCAGCAGAGAAGGGTGAGGAGAAATTCCCTTTCACATGCTGGGGTTGAACTCCGATTATTCCCCTGATAAACACAGGATTTGTGGTGAGAACCCGCTGGAAGGGATGGAGCGTCCCGATGGGTGGTGAAATCCCAAAACTCTAAAAAAAATTATCCCAAAACTCTAAAAAAAAATATCCAAAACCTCTAAAAAAAAATATCCAAAACCTCTAAAAAAATATCCAGAACTCTAAAAAAAAAAAAAAAAAAAAAAAATCCAAAAACTCTAAAAAATAAAATCCCAAAACTCTAAAAAAGAAACCCCAGACCTCTAAAAAAACAATTCCCAAACTCTAAAAGAAATCCCAA